AGATTGTGGTGTGATAAGTTCCGAGCCTTGTGCATTTGTGGGACCTGTCTCACGAGTGCACGGCGTCTGTCGCGTCTCGAAATTGGGTTTTGGGGCGTGACAGATTTAGTGGTATCAGAGCTTAGGTTAAATTAAGATTTTGTGATACAGATTTAGTGGTATCAGAGCTTAGGTTAAATTAAGATCTTGTGATGTCAGATTTAGTGGTATCAGAGCTTAGGTTAAATTAGATATCTGGAGATTGAGTGGTATAAGAGCTTAGGTTGAAATTAAGAGCTGAAGATTAAATTAAGCACCTCCAGATTGAGTGGCATTAGAGCAGATTAAGTGATATCCGAGCCTAGGTTTAATTGAATACCTAGGATTTGTTTTGGACTTGGCTAGCCAATGGATTTTAGAACCGTGGTGAGATGAGTGATGGGTTATATAAGGGACGATTCTGATTCGTGTTGCCTGAATCTTCTAATCCATCTTGATGAGATGGTAATTTGATAGTTCTTGTTTCTTGCCTTCATACTTTGTGTGAAGTGGTGAAAGTGATCTTGCCCGTTATGTCCTGAAGACCTTGTTTTGAAACTTGGTCATTTTCTGATAGTCCGCACTTGTTTAGGCTTGTTACGTGAATAGAATTTTTGTGTGCTCTTTTGCCACAATTGTGAAATCTGGGGAGTGTAGAGATCTTTTGTTATTGACTCTGTTTGTCTCTACAGCATAGCTGGTTGAGAAATTTGTTCTGTTTGTCACATGACCAGTGGAGGATGGGTAAACCCTCTACTTTGCAAGAGATTCAAGGCTATTTTAGCCAATGTTGTGTGTTTTTCTGGATGCGTTTTAGGAGCTGGATAACTTGGTAATTCCGTTGCTCATTATCTTTCTGAAAGTCTTATAGTGAAATTTCACTTTTTCCAATTGGAGCTTCATGGTCTTTTCATGTGGCTCATTTGTCTATATTGGTTAATTAAGAGCAGTGATCATTCAATTGAAATTGCCATATTTTTGTGAAGATTGGCAAGTTGTCATAAAGTTAAACTCTCTATTGTTGCCAATCTCTACATTCTTGATACGTGGGAATTGCTTGATACTCTTGAAATTCATCTTGAATCTTTCTTGATATTGCTTGTGCTTGTTCTTGAAACTGAAATCCAGAAATAGATAATGATTATTGAAATCCTCATTATCTTGATACTTGTCTGAAATTAATCCTCGCACTGTTCTTGGAATTTATTTTGAATTGTCCTTGAAAACCATTCTTGTCTTGACTCTTGCTTTTGCTCGAATTTTGTATACTGCTCTTGCTCAAATTTTGTATGCTGCTCTTGTGCAAATCCTGTATATTCTGCCAGTTCTTGTTTCAGTATACTTGTTGATCTTCTTGATTTTGATTTTGTTCATATGGACACCTCTTAGGAGGGGTGACGAAACACCTATACGAGGCATCCTCATTCTTGTCTCTTGCAAGTGTTAATCTCTGTATCCTTGATGTCTTAGTTTTGACTTGACTCTAGGATGACTTGATTGTAAATCTGCTTAGTCTCCATGAGCTACGAGGTAAAGGGGTAGTCCTTGAAATACTTGATGCCCTAGAGTTTTGTTCCAAGTGAAATGGTTCTTTGATCTGGCTGTTTTGATTTTTGTTTGCCCTTTTAACTGGAAGACATGAATCTTCTAAGCATCTTGATCTCAGCCATTGTTTTGTTCTGTTAATTAATTCTAGTACTTGAGGTACTAGATCGTGCCATCCTGGTTATATTTGCTCTTGAATCCGTGTTCTGATTGTCATTATTGAAATCTCTTTTGTGGGCCTAATCCTTGAATTCTATTGTTTGTTTCATGGTTAACTTTTGTCTCTCAATTTTGACTGCTTGGTTAAATTTGATTTTGATTCTTGGTGAATGCCATTTTGTTGTTGAATTTTTGAGGCATTCTACCTTGCACTCTTGTGTTTCAGTATTCTTCCAAGCATTCATATTTTCTATTGATTTTATTCTGTTGCAATTCTTGAGAGTCTTCCATGTCTTTTGATGGTTCTAGCTTTTAACTCTTGTTAATTGCTAAAATCTGTCTCTTGATCCCAGTTGTTTTGTTAAACATGATCTTGCTTATTGGTTAACCTTGTTTTGTGGCAGAATTTATAAGGCATTCATGCACTTGTTCATTCATTCATGGTCCATATATCCATTGGATGCTTATCCGTCTTTGATAGAGTTCAAAGTTGTTGTATTCGTCTGTAAATCCATGCCATTCTTTGTCAATTCGTCTTGTGATGGGTTCGTAGCGTAACCCCACAATTGTTCTTTTGTGGCTTTGGCAGGATTTATTTTTATTCGTTGTGCTTCCCATGTCACCCCAGCCTCTAGTAGCTCATTTCATGGTAAATCCTGTTAAGTAATTAGTGTTCTGCTTTTAAGATTAGTTGTGATTTGTTATCAGAGTGGCGCAGCGGAAGCATAGTAAGCCATGTCTGTTCATAGAAAGTTAGTGAGGCATTTGTTTTGTCTCGGATTGTGTGAAGCCATTCACCACTTGAGATGATCCCCAATTTGAGTTTTGGGGACAAAAACTCCTTTTTAGGAGGGGTGAGTGTAATATCCCAAAATTTCGGGAATATTTAAGTGTAAGTTAAGGATTAAATTGTGAGAAAAGATTGTTTTGGGGCCTAATGTGAATATTTCAAAAGTTGAGGGACTTAAAGAGGGAAAGATTTTGGATAAGGATGACTTCTTTTCTTTTCTCCTTTTTCTTTCTTTCTTTCTTCTTCTCCAGCCCGATTCTGCT